CCCTTTATCCTTTATATTTTCTATATTTCTTATATTTTATACTTACTGCACATTATACCGAAGAAAAATTCCTGGTCTGTGAATCCTGTTCATTGACAATGGCAATAAAACTGATTCTGATTTCTGAATATACTGTATGGAGTTAGTTCCTGAGCTAACATTATTAGCTCCTTTATTTTACAGTTGAAGAAACTGTTTATCACAGACTGTCTAATGTTACAACTAGCAGCTGGGGTTCTCCTTAACGACAATTAAATTAAGGGAAAAAAAGAACATCCTACCCTGAGCAATACGAAGTTTGACCTCAAGGTCAACAGGAGTGGAAACGACAGACTTGGTGAGGACTAACACGTTTTCCAGACCGATCACCACCACCAGGTAAGGAAAGATCTCACTGCAAGGAGAAAATAAGAAAACAACAAGAATAAACTTAGAACAAAACTTTTGTTTGACGATTTAAAAATACATTTCAATGAGTTCATATGGTGCAGTTCACTCTCCTACTTCAATTACTAAACTCTTATGACTATGTCCACTTAGGTCAGGGGTCTGCAACCTTCATGATCAAAAGAGCCATTTGTGCTTCTTGTCTCACTAATAAAATGTGTCCGGAGCCACAAAACAAGCTATGACTGTGATTATCAACTGGTAGTCCGTGGGCCTTTTTGAGGTCCTTTCGGGAACCTTAACGGTCAGTGAAGGTGACATTATAAAACCGAAAATATATTATTATTATTATTATTATACACATCAGGACAAATAAAAAGAACAGATTTGTGTAAACAAGAAAAATATTGTATATAGTTTATACCAAATTTCATAAAAACTAGTACAACTGAATTATTCAGGCATATTTTTTGTATCTTATTATTATGTAGACTTCAAATTCTTTAAAGGCAATTCTGATGGATTTGAGAGAAATATCATAGAAAGAAGTTTGATTATTTAAGTAAACAACAGGCTAGCATGAGCTAACATGTTTTACTTTTTGTATCAGTATTGATCACATATTTACATACAACTTTGTTTCTGTTGTGGGTATACAAACACCCCAAAAATTTTTATGTTTGGTCATATTTTCAAAGAGTCACTGCAGAGGGACCAAAGAGCCACATGTGGCCCTAGAGCCGCAGGTTGCAGACCCCTGACTTGGGTAAATATCATGACCAGCTCATCAACATAAACCAAAATAACTCAGATGTTAATCAAGTTATAATAAGATTTGGAAGTCAAAGTTTCTGTTGTCACAGGACAAAGGTACACAAATGACTTAATAAAATAAATTAATGTCTTTATCTAATTAGACGCCTGAAAAAAGCAACTTAACTACTTTAAAACTATTTGTTAGACACCATTAGACAGATGTCTGCTGGGAGTTTCCTGCCCTAACAAAGTGTGAGCAGAGATTAGTTGGAGAGGCAGATAAGCTTCAGAGGTAAGTGTATAACTGGGTCACAGAGGAGTCAGCAGCTCTACATATTACATCACACACACACACACACACACACACACACACACACACACACACACACACCCACACACACACCTTTCATGTCAATTTGACCCAGCTGTCAAAATGAAGGGTAAAAAGGGTCAAAAGTGTCCTGTACTAATTGTTTCTTTGAACTGTGAGACATATTTCACCTCACACACACACACACACACACACACACACACACTTCTGCTGCCATCAACTGAGCAAACTAAACTCTGGGGCGAGTCCTGACCAAGCAGAACGTGTAGATTGTTCCAACAACCAGGGTGATGTTTTGTTTAGACAGGTTTTAACTAAAAAAAAAAACAGCTAATGCCACTTTTCCATGGTGAAGTGTCCCGACGATCGGTGTAGGTACGGGTCGGTACGGGTCGGACCGGTTGGTTTTCCACTGATGTTCCAGTCCGGCTCCAATGGGTGTGTTTTGGGCGGTTGGTGGAGGTGGTTTTTAGGTGTTTTGAAAAAGGTTAATGGGCAAAATGAGAGATGGAAACACATTTGATGAATAACTTTTGAAATTTTACAAATTTGCAAAAATTTAGCCAATCAGTGACGAACAGTGTTCTGACGTCGCATTTTGGTGACAGCTGGGGCCGGTTGGAACCACAATGAAGTAGGTACTAGAAAAAGTGCCGGTTCCATGGATCTGTCCTAATGGAAATGGCTTGGAACCGTACCGAACTGTACCGACAATACACTAAGTGGCACTAGTGGAAAAGGGGCAATAATATGACTTTCATGGAAAAAGGTGGGTGAAGTGGTGCAAGACAAAAATAATCATAAATCCTAAAACAATAAATAAACGAGGATTATTATTTATGGCTTCAGCCGCTCATTAAGAGGTCTTCTGGTATTCTATATTTTATTTAGGCTGACCTTGGTTTGTGTTTGTGTAAACGCACACAGCCCGAGCACAGCCCACGGCAGACCTGCACACATCTTACTCAGTGGTTGGACAACAAGGTGTCATTGTCACGCCATGTCTGCTCTCTACGGAGCCTCAAACGATTGGTTGTCCCAGGAATGTCAATAAATCCCCTCCTATAGCAGCCGTCCAACCCACTTCCACACCCAGTTATTCTTTTTCTGTCAACACGCTGACCTTTTGTGCTCCTCTTGGAAACATTAACTCAGATCAATGTAAAAACCAACACAGAGGAAGAGGGAAGTCAGTAATTTGGAGAATGTGTTCACACAGGTGAGTTAGTGGTACCGGTTTGGTGTTTCTGTGAATAAACTCAAAAACAATAAACCAGACCAGACTTCTGGGTAGTAAGCTAGCTGTTGCTTAATATTGATTTAAAAACATCTGAATGTCAATAAAGAGTTTGTAAACCATATAAACAGCAGCAGATTTTGTTCCAAAGCTAACACAGAAGCAAAACAGAGTTTTTAACTTGTTAACTTAAAAAAACTAAGCAAAGCTGTAAGTAAAGTTAACTTTTATATGTCATATGTTATATCATTACAGTTGAACCAAATAATTTAGCTTCATATGAGGGTCTGGACTCTCGGCTATTGAGAGGTGATTTCTTCCTGGAGGCGTGGCCTCTGTTGAAGTTAAAAATGATTGGATCTGATTTTACCCAATCGCTAATGTTTGGCTGTGTGTGACGTATATAGTGCGCCAGTCCGACCGCGAAGGAAACTAAGCTAAGAAGCTAGGAAATTGCGTGCGCTGTAAACCATCCCCTGCTGAGAGGAGACAAGTAACGAGCTGAACGAGATGGCTGTAAATGACGCTGCAGGCTTTTTTTTAAATTTGGAAACCTTCACTTCCTCTGCTGCCATTGCTAAACTACAGGCAGCTCAGAAAATCAACGTCATCAATCACAGCTCCTCCTTCTGCTCGCTGATTGGCCCGGTTGAAATTCTATCGGAGAAATTCAAGTCAGTGGGAGAAATCCCAGATGGAGCAGAGAAGGGAGATTATAATCCAGCCTAATTGTGTAGGAAGGCAAGGGCCGGGCTACCAAATGACAGATCTAAATGAATAAGAGTATCAAACTAATGTGAATTAAGAAATAAAAACTAAATGAAATGAATTACATAAAAATCCAAAAAACTGATTATTTCAGACAAAAACAAAAACTATTTAATTAGATTTCTTCAGTGGTGGGCACAGCTGCTTCTTCAGTTCCCCTCTCTATTCCCCTGACTCCGACGTCTCATTAATGGTTTCAGATTCACTGTCAATAACTAAACTTCAACACAAATCACACAGATCACAGATAAAAGCTTTCAAGTCTCTTTTAGAGGTAAAATTTGAGACAATTGTTTTAGTAAAACCAGGAGGCGGAGCTACAACCTGGCTGCTGACTTCAAGCAGAAATTTCAGAGCGGAGCGAGGGAAAAAAAAGGCAGTTAAAAATTATAGCCTTTGAAATTGTATTCCTGCTAATTTAGTTCTTATACGTATTTAAACACTATTAACATTAAAAATGAATGAATGAATGATTTGTAAGTTCAACTTTTATTTTGCAACAAATTCAGGAAGAGCTCTCTGTGACTGAACGATGCTGGGAAAATGTCTAAAAAAACTATTCAAACTTTTTTACCATAGTTTTGAGTGTGTACTTTGGGTTTTCTTGACAAATTCTTGTTCAGTTTCTGTTTAAAATTGAAGTTAATGTCCTAGATTTTGCCAGTAAACTGAAACAATGAGTCTGAGGTTCTAGTTGGAATATTAGAGGACAATCTGAACATAGAAACAGATATCCTTGGTTTGGGGATGTTATTGAGAGACTCTTGGCGACTGCTTCATTTGGTTCTAGAATGTCGCAGCTGCATGTCCGTCCGTCTGTTTTCCTCCTCTTATCTGGGGTCAGGTCGCAGGGGCAGCAGCCTAAGCAGAGAGACCCAGACTTCCCTCTCTCCAGCCACTTGGGCCAGCTCGTCCGGGGGAAAGGCGTTCCCAGGCCAGCCAAGGAACATAGTCCCTCCAGCGTGTCCTGGGTCTACCTCTGGGCCTCTTCCCAGTGGGACGTGCCCAAAACACCTCACCAGGGAGGCGTCCAGGAGGCATCCTAACCAGATGAACCACCTCAGCTGGCTCGTCTCGACATGGAGGAGCAGCGGCTCTACTCTGAGTCCCTCCTGAATGACTGGGCTTCTCACCCTATCTCTAAGGGAGAGCCCAGACACCCTGCAGAGGAAACTCATTTCAGCCGTTTGTATCCGTGATCTTGTTCTCTCGGTCACTACCCAAAGCTCGTGACCATAGATGAGGGTAGGAACGTAGACCGACCGGTAAACCGAGAGCTTTTCCTTCTGGCTCAGCTCCCGCTTCACCACGACAGACTGGTACAGCGCCTGCATCACTGCAGATGCAGCACCAATCCGCCTGTCGATCTCCTGCTCCATTCTTCCCTCATTCACGAACAAGACCCTGAGATACTTAAACTCCTCCACTTGGGGCAGGACCTCCTCCCCAACACGGTTTCCAGCTCAAGACCATGGTCTCAAACTTGGAGGCACTGATCATCATCAAGGCCGCTTCACACTCGGCTCACTGGATCTCTTCCTTTTATTTCCCTGCATCAGCACAAGCAGCCCCGTGCTGGAAATCAGCCGTTTCACCCGCCGGAGCTCGCCCGACGACTTTTGATCGCTTATATCTCCATGTGGGAATGTCCCAGGAACTTGTAGCGGAGATTCAGAGCTTTAAAATGAGCCATCTCCCGCCTGGATCCGACACTCAGAGTCAGCGCTAGAGGCTCTGGAGTAAATTGAGTACTATATCGCCCGCCAAAGCGCCTTTTTCGTCCGGTCGTTTGTTAATAGCTCCGCGGGGGGACGTCCCAGAAACTTGCAACCACTCCAGTTTGTAGAAGAGGACCGTAGCTTTCCAAAGTCATCTCATTTTCCCAGATCCGATGCTCAGAGCCCGCGGGAGAAGCAAACGAAGGTTGAAATTTCCTCCCAAAAATGAGCGTAAAACGCACTAAGTCGTGGGTAATTTGCTTATAGCTCTCCATTCAAATATCAGCTTGTAGGGCATAACCAGAGCTTTAAAACCTGACCATCTACGCCGAGTTCCGATGCTCCTAGCCCGGGAGGGGGGCTAAAATCACCCTGGCAGGAGGTCAGACGGTGCGTATTTTGGAGGTTTTTTGCTTATTGCTCCACGGGGGAACGTGGCAGGGACTTCATTCAACTTTCACCTTGTAGGGCAGAACCAGAGCTTTCAAACGAGACCAGCCACTATGGGATGCAATGCTCAAAGCCGGCGCTAGAGGCTCCGCAGCAAGGTTGCGCTGCGCGAGCACCTGGGAATCAGCTGGCGGGCGACTCGTCACCCGCGAGCAACTGGTTGGGCACCCCTGTTTTAGCAATAAATAAGTTTCTTAATAATTTTTAAATTTAATGCAAATACTAAACCACTCAGCAAAGTATTAGTTTCGCTATTAGCAGATTAGCATCTGGGCAGAACTGTGTCCATCACTGGATTTGTTGACAGCCTGGTTTAGTCTTTCTTAAAATGTATGGTGAAAATGTGGCGACTCGTACCCTCCGTTGAGTGTTGGTGTGAGTCCAAACAGCGTACACAGACCCACAGACATGAGCAGAGAGCTCAGGACTGTAACCACAGCAGCCAGAGCCAGGCCCCACTTGGATTTCACCATGTCAATCTTACCTGCAAAGAAGCAAGTGGAGATGTGTTATCTAAACGTTTTTACACATATCTTCACTACAAAGTGCCAAATGTGAGTCTTAATTTAAGCAATTTGCATTTTTAAAATGTTAAAACTTTTAATATATATATTTTTTTGCAAAAACAAATAACTGCATAAAGTGCTTTTTTTAAATTAATATTATAAACAAAATAGTTTTTTTTTTGTAAACATAAAGCAAAAAAGAGTTGCTCAAAGATGAGGGTAGTGGTGCAAAGTAAACACAGGACTGGATACTTACACAAAAAGACTTCAGTTGGTCTAAACAAATGTGCAGAAATTTAATAACATTTCAAATATAATATAAAAGAAAAAAACGGAGTCTACTAATCGGCACGTAAGTGAATATTCATTGTGAGTACTTTGTTTGTACTTTGAGTCTGTGTTTGTTCTCTAAAGCAAATGTTTGTGCTGGCAGCTGCTGAGGGTTTGCTGGCTGCCTTCTTACACAGGTGTGCAATGTTCCAGAGTGAGGATAATCCCCGCGCCAGACAAGAACAACCTTGGCACAAAAACACACGTGCACACACACACACACACACAAAGGAACAGCGGGCAGCGGTCCGAACGTGGAGCTTCACAAAAATAAAACTGTGCCGGACCGCGGAGGAACAAAAAGACATGTTAACCTGGAAGAAAGTCTGCTGAGAACGGAGCTGAACTCACGTGTGGAGAAGTAGATGTAGGCGAACAGGATGATGTAAGTGGTGACGAGGGGAATGAGTTCAGCGATGCCGATCTCCTCCTTGAAGTGGACGTGAACCATGTGGTCATCTCTCAGGCTGCAGTTGTTTGAGGGGTGGAGCTGCTTCAGGCGGGTCCGCAAGCTGCTAAGAAAACTGGTCACACACAAAACGCCATCAGATTCAACCGACAAACTGTTTATATAACAACCACAATTACTAGACACACTCAGCAGTTTCTGAAATACTCAGACCAGCCCTTCTGGCACCAACAACCATGCCACGTTCAAAGGCACTCAAATCACCTTTCTTCCCCATACTGATGCTCGGTT